TCACAGTGAGCAAGCCAAGCAAGAATTAAGTAATAATAATAACTATTTTTTTATTATTATTATAATGATAATAATAATCATAAAAGTTAAAAAGAAGTAGAAATGCATTGCTTAAACCCGTTTATGGGCAATTATTCCCAATAACTTGCTGACGTCATTTCAAATAGACAGTTTAAGAATAGCCCGTCTGTCCCCGAGTTGCCAAGCACTCCTGTCTATTATAGCCTCATCTCAATAACACAGCAACAGGTACTTTACTCACAGCTGTGTCATGCAATGCTCTACACAGGAAACCCCAGGAAGCTTCGCTCATTTGCCTTAAAAACCGAAATAAGAAGATAAAACAGAAACTCAACACGTGCTTAAAAATAAAAATAGAGCATCTGATCTCACCTGTTCCTCGATCTTCTTTTTCTCTGTTTACTTCTTAGTTTCACCCACTCGATCAGGACCAGTCAAACAGGAATAGTTGCTGATAGGAAACATAAATGACTAAATGAGCGTCGAGAGTCTTGTTGTGCGTTCTGGTCTTGTGCAGATGCAGAAATATTCACCTGATGTAGAAGCTGCGGATGATTCAGGAGCGCTGCTTTCCAACAGCTGGCTGCTACAGCCCGCCTCTCGCTCTGTTTGTGTGTGTCACCACACACCGCCTCCTCGGCCATGCTATTGGACACACTCTTCCACCTCCCCTCCGCGTATAAACGCATTCGTCACTATAAGGTGTCAGCAAAAGTTGCGTAAAGTCCTTTATGCCTTCAAGATTTGCATTATGAAGCAATTTAGTTCTAATGTTATCTTTTAAAATGTATGTATATATCTATGGTTAAAGGGCATTTTTGCTTGTGATTCATTCATGTACCACAAAATATTACAAGGTTTTTTGCAGGACATTACAACATGTCCTGCAAAATGTCAAAAACAAAAATATATTCATTTTTTTTAAAATTTTTAAATAAAATTTTATGAGCTAAATTTAAGGGATGACTTGAATTAATCTCTTTAATGGGATTCTGCAAAACTTAAATTGAGGGGTGAGTCACATGAATTTGATATACTGTGCAAATGGGAGTGCTATGGCTGACTTTAAAGTACATCAACTCTGAAAATGTGACAATGATAAGATTTATTTACTTTTAAACAAAGCTACAAGCATTTGAACGCAAAGCAGAAGGAAGCAGAAGAGCATGGAGCATAGCTGAGGTGTATGGCGGTTCTTCCCCAATTACAATGCAAGGCACAACATTAGGTGTGAGATTCTGTTACTAAATGTACTGCACACAATGGGAATAGGCATATGTTATGTTTCTACAGTAGATATGGTCGATATTTGTTATGATATTTGCTATTATTTTGTTTTAAAAAATCCCCTTAAATGTCAATCCTGCTTTGCCTTAAAAAGTAGAAGATACAATGTGCTTTTTAAAATCAGCCCCTAGCAGTCAGTGAACCTAAAGAATTACAGTCTGATCCAAAAGTCATTCAGCAATGAGAACAGAGCAAAACTATTCTGAGGAACACTCTTCTAGAGTTCACGGTCATTTTGATAAAAATATTTAAACATTTTGGCCTCTTTGGTTGGAAGGAATTTTTCGTTTTTTTAGTATTGACATAAAACTTTTATTGTGACTGATGAATTAAAGACTTCGCTATTGGAGGTTGACTATGGTGTTTCGCTGCTGTTATGGGAAAAGGATACATCAGTAAATGTTAACTGTTTATCGGGATACACATATCTCTTTGCATTAAAGTCAATTTGCACAGTACCAACCGAAACACTGCGTTATGCTCAGCAAACCTGAACACTGGCCACAGGCCATTGCTCAATACCAGAGTCTGTGGTGGCCTGTCACTAATTCAACCTTTACACATTTCTCTGCCATAGAAACAGTGACAACCTAATCACACATTTACACCAATAAAAGCTTAAATAGAACATAATTGCAATAGCCAATTCTAAAACTACAAAATGAGTTATTTAAGATTAAGAGTCTTTTTAGTGTTTGTGCCTGTTTGTCCGTACATCAAGTAATTTAAAAATCAAGCATTCAGGCAGTAACTATGTATAAATAGGTGTGGAAATAAAAAGCAAATACAAAATACTGGATGAAAAGTCAAAATTTGGAACGACGAGGGCATAGTTAACATTATCAGCGCTCAAAGCAATGTTTGCTTTCAAGTTGAGAGCAGCTCAGAGTGATTTCCTCATTTTAGTCTAGCCTGAATATTTGAGGCACAAGGAGCTATGCAAAAATAAACAAATCGCTTAAAAAAGGCAAAGAAAGCGGAAAAGGACATAAAATAAATGTAACTTACGTTGTTTTATTTCCTGTTTCCTACCTAGATAAAACTCGACACCCTTCTTTATGATGCTGTACATCAAGAGCTTGGAAACTACTGGCCTAAAAACATACAACCGATGTTAAAAATACTTCTTTAATTACAGCAGCATGTCTTGATTTAATAGCAATGCTATAAGATTTTTCTTGAGGCTTCATTTGAATTTTGATGCCCTTAACCACAAGATCTAATTACTTAACTCAGCAATATTCTGGAAGCAAATGTCTGTGAATACTGGCTCAAAAACATCAGAAGAGGCCTCATATTGACAGGCATTAACTACACTGACATACCCTTTGGCACATCTCTGAATATTAGTCAATAGTCTCAAATGTTCCCACTTTCTCCATATCATCAGTAAATGATAGATCCCGGTAACACCTAACTGTGACATCTAATACTTATTTATAACTAGCAAACACTGAAACTAACTTCATCCGTGCTGCTATTTTGTAAATGCTTTACTCATAAGTTGTTCATTCCCCTTTGCCAAATCAACCATGGCACATAAAATCGTTCAGTCAGAATTCCATAAGTGCCATGTGCACTGTAGCCCATGCAGAGCTGATGTCATTGGATATATGTTCATCAGCTAACCTGGGTAGTATTGATAGAAAGTAAATGGGGTGTAAAAAGGAGAGGAAACTGACAGAGAATGATCAAAGCAAAGAAAAAAACTAACAGAAAGCAGACATGCTGTCAGCTTAATAGGTATATTTAGAGTTAATAACTGAATCACTGCATGAGCTGCATTATTAACTATTTTGGGGTTGTTACACAATGTACTAAATATAATATGGTGGCAATTTATTAGCACAGATCATCTTTGCAAGTGTGGATGACAACTCTATTTTGTCTCACGCAAAGACAAACACATCAACACAGACATGGAGATGCAGTGACACAAGCACACATGCACAGTCTGAGATCCCAAGAGATAGCTTAAACTGTGCATCTGATGCAATACTTAGTAACATCCCTGCAGGCTACCACAGTCTTCACCTCCAGGAATCATTTGTGTGGGGCCCAATCGTGCTGACGGCAAATACAGCAAATCCCCATCTGTAAATAAAGCAAGCTAATCACTTGCAGCAAAGGGGAAATTATGTCTTTGCTATGCGCTGTGTTTGCGAAAGTGCATTCTTCTTTTAAACACAGCGAGAGCTTTGCCGTAGGTGTAGGCACTGAAGGTGGAATCTGAACTGTGTTCACATTCACACAGTCAGAATCACTGATAAATGTCTAAGACAAGAGAAGTTGAGAGAAGCAGCAGAAAGATAAAGGTGCCTTTGCCCTTTGAGAACTTTCCGTATCAAGTCCATTTTTTTCATTTTCCTGAAACTTCTCACTTCTGCTTTCGACAAGATCAGCCGCGACCCTTTTAGAGCATGTGGTGAGGCTGTCGAATTCAGAAATAGCCTTCATGGTCAGTCTACATGTGTGAGAGCAATTGTTCACATTGAGTACCTTTATAGCTACAGTCTTATCTGCATCTCAACAGAATAAGGGTTACACCTTTACCTCCCCACCACTCCCCACCAACCCCCAACCTCTAACAGAACAATAAGGCCTCTGTAACTCAAGTCACGGACTTAAAAGTATGTCAGGGTGCTTGTGGTCCAGCAGCGTGTGAATGAAGTGTGTGAATATTTAATATTAATTTGATCAAATTCTGGAGATGTAATTAATTTTTATACAAGGCAATAAAAGTGGGCGTAAAAGTGGAAGGGCAGATGAGAGTTTAGGCGCATCTCTGTCAAGCTGTGCATACTTCCAAAGCTACTTGTGAAAAGTTAATTAGATTCATCCTATGCAGAGCTGAACTAAGAGTGGCAAGAATATTCGCATTAAACAGAGGTTATCTTGGGTGGTTATCCTTTTTCAAATTCCCCTAAACTTGCCATGGTCCTATTTAGCATGCCCAAGAATAACTTTAGACAAGTTTTTTTCCCTCCTTCATTTGTTTTAATATTATTCTTATTATTTGTATAATTTATTTTAACTTACTGCATATCTTTTTATTATATTTCTGTGTCTTGTTTATGACAATCAATTGCCTGTTTAAAAGACATACAGTAATCCTTTAATCACTTTATGAGGACAGGAGGCTTCAGCAGAAGTAGGTTAATCTAAAAAGAGACACAGCCCTGTTATCATCATATCTACACTGCCTACATTTAAATATCAAGAAATAAACTTGATTAGAATATATATATATTTTTTAAAAAGCATACATTTTTGTGCACACCTTAAGTTTAAAACCTGTTTTAATGGTTAATAATGGGATAACAGGAAATATGTCTTTACTCTCTCGGGGTGTTTTGTCTTTATTTAGTGAGCTCAGCGTCTCCCTTGAGCACGTCGAGGCATTGTTTCTGTTGATCCAAGAGAGAAAAAAAAGTCCATTGTTGTTGCGAACTTTTTAATCTGGGGATTTAAAGCCCATCACATGCTCAGACCGGACTGCGGAGCACTCCACGAAACACAGGCAAACTATTGCCGAAGTGCAAAGAAAGGCGTTCTTTATCCTCACACCGCAATGCAAGCGCACTTTTCTGGACTTTAGGATCGCTGGAGGATTGTGTTTAAGAGCTAAGAACCGAGAAACCCTTTTCCCCCTTTTCCAGGAGAAATCTGACCACCAACGTTTAAAGATAATCATGACGCAAAAGTACAGCCAGCGGTCTTTAATTGTTCTGTCTTTACTGGGGATTTTATCGGCCATCATGTCGGTTTTATCGGTGATTTTGATTTTCCAGCTGCAGTCACAGCAGACGGCGGTGAAGGAATCACCCCCGTCCACCTCCTCGGTCATACCCGCTCATGTCTGGGCCGTCCTGCTGCCAGTGGCCACAGTGCTCTCCGCTCTGTCCCTCACTCTCAACTTGAGCTCTGTGGTTGTGTGTCTCCTCCACAGCTATTTTTCAACCGAGGTCTGCAGAGGAGAACAGGATACAGAAAGGTATTTGTTCTTGCGCGTTAAGGCATTTCTTTTCGACCACCTGTTAGACAGCACCTGCAGCTGTGGTAGCACTCAAAGCCACTGTGCTCATTTCCATTTTTTTTCTTCCTAATCTCGATCCGTTTTTTTCAAACAGGCAGTTCCGGTCAGTTGTGACACACCTTTGACAGTTAAGAAAACCACTATTTACCCAGAAAGGCGACCTCTGAAGCAGCACTGCGCGTTTTTTGCCCCCTCACCCCTAGGCCTTGTTAAAGTAGTCGAGTACTGTTCGCAAAGCAAGGTTCAAAGTTCAAGGTTCTTTATTTGTCACATGCATAGTTATACAAGTATAAGAACATTATATATAATATATACATTAGGTGAATGTGCAGTAGTAGCATGTTTGCAGCAAGCAGGTGAATTCTGTACATTAAGTGAATTAAATAAGAATAGACAATCTCACTATTTTACAAAATACACATTATGAACATGTTTAAAATTAAAGGAATTTGAAATGTACATTGTGCCGGTGGGTTTAGAGTGTCTAGAAGAGAGTCCTGTCTCAGTCACTTATGGGTGATGTGATGTGTTACTAAATAAAAACTAAATAAATGGCAATAAGAGTAAAAAACGAAAAAAAACAAAAAAACCCTTAAATGCATGCCAAATAAATCCAATACGATACAACACACCATGACTAAACTTCATTTCCCTCTTTGTGTTTTGCAGGGTGTAAGAGATCTCAGTTTAACTTTGTCCAAGGTTTTAAGGCTGCAGATTATTTCAACTTTTACTTTCATTCTCCTTTACACATGCAAAGTGTAAAACTAACATGACGACATATATTTTAATAAGACGCAAAGCACTACACTTAATCTAAGTATGGAATTAAGATCAGCTGCTTCAAAAAGCTTAACATTTCAGGTGCGGTAACTTATTATGAGACTGCTGCTTTGCACAACATCCTATATGGGTTCCTATTTTGAGGATAGTGCACTGTCGAGGTGCTCATGTCACACTTCTCCTTGTGCCCACATGTTTTTCAATTGTTAACCCTGCAAACCACAGTCCTATCTTGAATAGTAAATGTACCAATTAGGTTTCGTGCAAAGAAAACATAGTTTCAAAAGGATAAAATGGGTGTCCTGTGCAAGATTGCAGAGGCCCGCATTGCAGTGCTGTTGGTTCCCCCCCCACACACACACACCTCTCTAACCCTTTATGAATCCCAGCTAAACAATGGATTTCCTCTCATTATGTACCCAACACACAGCCTCTAGCTGGCCCTTTCCCACGTCGGTTTACAAATCTAACGGCATACCACAGCACCTCCCTGACAATGGAGACATTCCTAGAAATTTTAAATCCATGGCACAAATGACCAAGCATTTATAAAAATAAACAACAAACAAATAGCCCTAATTTTGCAGGACAAAAAGTTATAACTTTATTATGTAGCAAAGAAAATGAACATATCAAAAACAAAACAAAATATATTGTTGTTATTTTAAGTAATGCAATGTCCTTGTGCACTAAACAGATCAGATTTCTTTTAACAGAGCAGACTGGTTCCTTCTGGACAGCAGAGCTGTACGACATGTGGCTATTGGACTCTTCTGTCTGGGGGTTTCTGTCTATTTAATAGGTAAGCCTGAGCAATAAAAAAAGGATCTGTATTTTTGTATAAGCATATGTTGTACCATCTGGCAAAATGTTAAACAGAACAAACGCATAAAAAAAGAACTAACTTTAAAAACATTGGCTGTGCAGTGGACTTTCAACAGCAGTGGCAAAACAGCAGTGCTGCTGTCTCCCTGAACCGACCAGTGAGTCCAACAGAACAATGCATTCTTTGAGCAGCCATGACTTAAGTGTTTTTAATGCTGAACCTAGCAGCACTGGTATGCTCTGTTCCACTGAGAGGCTTGTACGGGGGGTGGGGGGGGTCAGTGTAGGCAGCCACTCTATTGTGATGAGGAGGTGTTGCCCTTCTGAACCCACTTCAGCCACAGTCAATAGGTAGGGCAAGACTTTAAAGGCAACGCCACCAACTTAGGAAGTCGCATCACATCCCAGAGTTGTGCTTTTCTCCCACCTCCTTCAGCATGCCTGAGTCCATTGTCCTTTTCCTGCAGAAAAACATAGGAAACTGTAATATAAACTGTAACACTCATTGTGTTCTGCTTTAAGTTATTTGGCCCAGTAGAGGTGCAACTTGTTAGCTGATTACAGAGAAAAGCACTTGGTGTTTCTGCACATATAAATTCTAATTTTTTCCCTGCTACTCTCTTTCTTGGCAGCCATGTCCATTTTTATGCTCCTAATATTCGAGATGGAGACTGGAATTGCAAGTGCTTGTGTACTTTCCTCTGGGATCCTGATCCTGCTGGTGGCTGTAATACACGCTCTGGTTAAAGCTTCCTATACTGGAAAGCACTATCACAGCGACCATCTTGACACCCTGTATCGTAACGACCACGGAAGTAGCAGCGCACCAGTTTCTCGGCCCTGCGAGTTAAAAATTGGAGTGGACAAACCGCGGATCCTTCGCAGCCAGTCTCACCTCCAGCATCATATTGCCTTCACTCAATGTGGCGACCCGAGACAGCGAGAACAATATCAGCAGCAGCAGTACTCCCCTACAGGAGGTTCACAGGGCCACTCTAGTGATAAAGATGCTTACAGCAGTGGTGGCAGCTATCCCCGAATGCACAGGACACTGTCTACTGAATCTGGTTTGCTACAGGCCCAGGTTAAACCCTGGAATGGGGTCAACAATGAGATGAGGAGCGTCCTTGCACGAAAGTCAGGGATTTGTGCAAAAGACTCTACTCTCGTGTGACATAAAATAAGATTAGCAGTTTGCATCAGTGGCTAGAAAAGACTAATGACCTACAAATACTATATGGTGACAACAACAAGTGCAGTGCAGATGTAATACTGTCAACATTCGACAAGTTTATCCAGAATGACTGCAGACAAAAGAAGAAAGAAGAAGGAAGAAAAAAAAAAAAGTATCTTTAGCAACTTTTTTCTCCTTTTCTCCAACACAGGTTACAAAAGTATTATTAACCTGGTGGGGGGAAAAATGTAGTGCTTCACGTTAATGAATTTGATCTAAATTTCCAAATTATGCACACCAATGCCATCCATATATCAAGCTGATGAATTTATCGCTCATATTATAATCATGTAAATATTTTATTCTGCTGTATATATCTGCTTTTTGCCAAATATGTGCACAATGTGCAGAAGTGTTTTATGTGCTTTGTAAAATTATTTCACATAAATATTAAATAAATTGATTCTAGAAGTATATATAATTCAAAGAAGAACTTTTTGAACACACAAGCCTGTTATCTGAAAAGCTAATTTGACTAATTTCAGATACTAATAATGTAACGTCTGAAGGAACTACTAACCTTGGACACCTCTGTCTGTCATGAGGAAGTGGATGGGGCATGTGGAGCAGTGACAGTGGGGCTGGGACAGGGACTCACATCATTTAAGCTGCATGCAGTTGTCAGTGTGGGAGGGAAAAAAGGTGGAAAATAAAATAAAAACAACAGACAAATCAAACAGAAAGTATGACGCTTCTAGTAATTACAAAGTATTCAGAAATGTCTGGATTACAAATTTGAAGTTGCAGGAGAAACAAACTTTAATGAAAAGCCATATATTAAATGATATATTACATTAGATGAAGGATACAATAAAATAAATAATAAATAAAATAAATAAAAACAAATGATGAACGATATGATGTAGTGCAAAAAACAGTTACGTAAATTGTAAATGGCCTGGCACTTTCAATTTGAACACTGAAAGTGCTTTCTACTCCAAGTCTCATCACCCAACCACACACATATTCATACAGTGCTTTTATTTTTACTTAAGTGCTTTTAACTAACACACTGTAGGAGCCGTGGATGGATCCACCACCTTTCCATTTGGTAGCTAATCGTCTGACACCAGCTCTACCACCAGAGCCATGGTCACCCCAAATACGTAAAAAGAATGATCCTTTAGATACTGAGGGAGTAAAAATGTGAACATATAAAGACCCACAAGTATATTTTTTATAGCCTTAAGGACGTTGGAGATCTTATCAAAAAAGTAATATTCTATAATTTTTGTGGCTTTATGTATTTACATTAAGTACTGATAACAATAATTGCTCAGTGACTATCTCTCATTTTTAAAAAAAATGTGAGAAGTACATACTGACATAAGCATAAGACAAAGCAAAAAACTTTGTTATATTACCTAGATATTTGAGTGATAAAGATGATAAAAAGCATATTGTAGAGATCTGCATTTTAGCAAAGGTGTGTATGATAATGGCTGTTATAACTAGTCAAGCTTTCCTGTCCCTTATAGGCTCTATATAGGACAGGAAAGCTTGACTAGTTAGTTTTCCCTCTCAACTAAAAAATGAGAGGGAAAACTGCTACTAACGAGAAGATTAAAGCCACTTTGTAGCATTCAGTGTGATCAAAACAACGTTGCGCTTTTTCACCACCATGTCTCAGTGAACACATTCACTGCCGCCTCCTACCTGCGCCCTTGAGAATTATTAATCTGTTCCTTCATGCTGATGGCTTGACGGAGAAGACTGTCAATGTTTTTGAAATATAAGCTGCTGTTGTTCATGCTCTTCACGGCACTGCAAAAGCCAGCAGATCAATACAAGTATTAACAGTCAGGGCAGGTGGATGGTGAGCTACTTTTATGAAAGCTTTTAAATATGTGTGATCTCACCTGCATGCGTACTCTACAGTGTAGATGGCTCCTTGACTTTGTTCCTCCCAGCTCTGCATATCTGTCTGTGCAAGAAATGAAACCCATTAAAACTCAGTAGAGGGAGAGCGAGAGAGAGAGAGCGAGCGAGTAATGACATTATGATACTTGTGAGGTTTGTGTTTCATTACAGTAAACTCCCAGAAAGTTGGTTCTGTCAGCTCTCTGGGATTTTCTTACCTGGGTTATTGAGCATACATCAAAACATTATGGGAAACTGTTCATATCATCAACATGTTTTTCCAGGAAAAAGAGCAGAACAAAGGATATGTTTTACCAACAACACAAAATAAATATTACTCAGTTTTAACTGAAGCAATGCCAGTTACATTTTTTCCACGAATCTAAGTATGTATCCAAGTCATGAATAAAACAAGACTGAGACAATGCTTGCTTTTAAATGCATTTAAAATTAAAAGAAAAAGATGTTCTACTGTTATTTCTGATTGCACACAACACAGCAACACCTAGGCCAAGAATTTATATAGGGTATTTTAAAGGTTCACCTAGCTTTAAAATAGTTTATTTGGATTATTATGTTATTATATTAGAATTATATCAATAAAATAATAACACAGTCTTTTGATGTATAATTTTCTTTTTTCCCCAGCTTCTCCCTTTAAGGGTTGGCATAGCTGATCACCAGCCTCCATTGCACCATGTCGCTACCATAATTCTATCACACCACCCCCTGCATGTCCTGCTTCACGACATCCACGAACCACCTCTGAGGTCTTCCTCTTTTACTTCTTTCCATATTCAATACCCGTTGTTCAGTATATTCACTCTCTATCCGCTACACACATCCATCCATTTCATCCTTGCTTCCTGAATTGCTCAACCTGAGTTGTTTCTCGGATCTACTCATTTCTAATCCTCTCAGTAAAAATCTTAATATCTGCCTTTTTGTCACTGCCATCATATCCAAACCATACAACATAGTAGGACTTAGTACCCTTTCACTTTTGCTGCTATTCTTCTGCCACAAATCATCCATGACACTCTTCTCAACCCTCTTCTACAACTCTCTTGTGCACTGTCCATTGCTTTGGATAGTTGGCCCGAGGTATTTACACTCAGCCACCTTCACTACCTTTACTCTTTGCAGCTTTACTTTTTACATATATGAAAACATTCTTTAATTTGTTATTTACGGGACAATATATTTTGCAATGCAAGTCATTGTGACAGGCTTTCTTCACTATCAAAGTGGGTGACAGTTTCACAGAAAGGCCTCTAAGGCTTCAGTAAAAAAAGGGTAGATAGTAAATTTGGAAATTAATATTTAATTGGGCACGGTGGATAGCACTGTTGCCGCACAGCAAGAAGGTCCTGAGTTCAATTCCACCATCAGGCCGGGATCTTTCTGTGTGGAGTTTGCATGTTCTCCCCGTGTTTGCGTGGGTTCCCTCCGGGTACTCCGGCTTCCTCCCACTGTCCAAAGACATGCAACTTGTGGGGATAGGTTAATTGGATAATCCAAATTACCACTAGGTGTGAATGTGAGTGCGAATGCTTGTCTGTTCCTGTGTGTTGGCCCTGCGACAGACTGGCGACCTGTCCAGGGTGTACTCCATCTCTCGCCCTATGACAGCTGGGATAGGCTCCAGCGCCCCCCGCGACCCTGAAAAGGATAAGCGAAGCGAATGGATGGATGGATGGATGAATATTTAATTGTGCAGGTGCAAATAAAAGAGGGGTCCAACCTGTAATAACCTGGTGTACCTAATAAAGTGTCTGGTGAGGGTATATACCTAAAGAATATCACTTATCCCAAAGAAGACGTTTCAAAATCGGGTGTTATTCAGCCTTTAATGACTAAATACAAATGCCATTTTTTCTTCTTCCTGAGAAAAGAACGTAAACACCCCAACCTCTGATCTGCTGTTAGGTTTTTCAGTAAAGACTGCCGCTTGTTTCCAAACATAAAGTTTCCTGGCAGAGGTCGTTTTCCCTTCATTCACTTAGATGTGTTACAAGCAGAGTTAATGCGATGTCACCGAGAGGATAAACGATACCTTGTGCTGGACTAGTTCTGGCAGCGACCTCCTGACGTGCTCCTGCAGCCTGTAGAGAGCCACCGACGGCTCGTTAGCCAGGACGTACATGCTCTCCGTGAACTTGTCAGTCACTGTAGTGTAAACGAAGGGAAGACAATTGCATAAAACAAATGGCCCGTGTTTGAAAGCTAAAACAAAATGATGAAAACAGCCAAAATCATAGCCCTGCGACTCTATACTGGAAATGCATTAGCTTAGTGGCTAGATGAAGCTAACAGCTCCGAGGGGGCAGCAGTGGATCAAGGCAACAATGAGCTATGCTGCACGCGAGTTTAGTTTTTGCTAATTTATTTATTTTTACCCCTTCTGACTTTCAGTTGCATCTCCTGGTCCTCCATAATGCAGTCTGGTTTTTACTGTCAGAACTACAATTCAGCTGTACGCGAGTGGTGTCACCTGATTCCCACCTCTTCCGTATTATTGTTGTAGTGTGTCACAGGACAACATTCCGGATAGAAATATGGGCTGTAAAAAAATAAAGAAAACATTTCTCCCTTGAAATTGTGCCAGATGCGGTGATACGTTACACAGGCTGAATCAAACGTGTTTTCAGTGCCTGTTTTGAAAATAACGGGATTATTAAATAGCTAATCATCTGAACGACGGCTAATGTACTATCGGAACACATCGAAGACTAGCAGGATCCATTATGTGATATGAACTTATTTACTTTCAGTTTTCCTTAAAGGAAGTTAGCGCAATTGGACTGGAAGGCTAAATGTGGTGAGTGGCTTTACGAACTGCCTAATTTTTTAAAAACTTTTTCTGCATGGCTAAACCAGATTATTTGTTTTTATTGCAGCGATCATGGAGGGCAGAGGTGATGATGAGGCTGCAGATGGCCAACGTGTTCAGCCATCTAACGCTAATGCATGTCCATCCCTATCAGGAGATGAAAAAGCCAATGGTACTTTATCCTGCTCTGTGTAACAGCTGAATTTGCCTGATTTCTAGGTTCTTGCTATAATCAGTTGAACAGTAAATGTCTTGCTTCCACTCACATGGCTGTGGTTCATCTGATTATATCTCTAGAGAGCATGGAGGTGGATGATGATTTGTTCAAACACTCCACCACTCTCACCAACAAACAGCGTGGGAATGAGGTTACAGTACGCCCGGCAACATTAGACTGTAAGATCTGATAAAGATACTCAGGTGTTAGGGAAACATTTGTACTTATTTTATCTTATTTTTACCATGTTCATTTATTGAGATTTTTCTACCCCCATCAGCTCTGTCCATACATCAGCTTGCAGCTCAAGGTGAGGTTTCACAAGTAGCTGCACACCTGAGCAAAGGTGAGAAATCTCTAACAAGCTTTTTTTTTATTACCAGTATACAACTAAACAAATATCCTACTTAAGGACTCCAATCCTTTTTTCTTTCTTTTTTTTGTCTCACAGACAGCTCATTGCTTAGCAGTCAGGATGAGCGAGGCTTTACACCTCTCATGTGGGCAGCAGCGTTTGGAGAGAAAGCAGTGGTGGACTTTCTCTTGGAAAAGGTTAGAAATAAGGCATGCACATAGGTACTTAAGAACACAAAAGTTATAAGTTACTGAAGGGCAGCTGGGTGGCCCAATGGTGTGGTGTTAGTGCTGTTGCTTCACAACAAGAGGGTCCTGGAGTATTTTTGCAAAGCGTTTGTATATTCTCCATATGTCTGCGTGGGTTTTTTCTGGGTACTCCAGCTTCCCTCCCAGGCCAAAGACATGCATGTTTGGTTAATTAATGACTCTAGATTGGCCATATATAGGATGTATTTCTCACTGCAACAGACTGATGACATGTGATTAAGAAGATGAATGAGAGGCAGTGGTTTAAAAAAACCCCTTTTATTAATTAGAAAGAAAATGAACTTATTCTAAAATGTGTCCGTTAGAAGCCAAATTATCATACTGATGATAAAGTGTTAACAAAAATGGTCACTGTTTTCAAATCTCAAAATAAATCATATTGTCTTTCAGCCCTACCGCTCTAACTTTGTTAAAGACAAAATTAGAGGGTGAAGACTTATATAGTTTAGACATGTGCAGAGGAGGGATTGTGGATATACTGGATGATGTTGAATATGGAGCTGCCAGGCAGGAGGAAAAGACGACCACCTCAGAGGAGGTTCATGGATGTAGTGAGGGACGACATGCAGAGGGATGGCCGTTAGGGACAGGTTAAGATTTCCTTAAAGGGAACAGCCAAAAGAAGAAATGGTATCGTGCTTTATTGTTAATGCATGTTTTTTCTTCCAGGGTGCAGACCCCAAAACAATTGCGAGGGAGCGAGAAAGCGCCCTGACATTGGCCAGCTCTGGAGGATACGTGGACATCGTTGAAGCCCTCCTCAGACATGGAGTGGACATTAACACTTATGACTGGGTATAGTTATGAATTTATGACTTTCCATCATAAAATCTATCATTTTTAAGGAGCAAGAAATCTAAATACTATATTTTTAACATTTTTATTTTACTGCACACTGTATATTATTCTCAGAATGGTGGAACTCCTCTTCTTTATGCTGTACGAGGGAACCATATCAAATGTGTAGAGGCATTGCTAGGTACAGTGCATGTCTTTAAGTCATTATATATTCTAGAAATTTTTTTTTAAATTGCGTCACTAATTTCCTATCGCTCTCTAATTTAGCCAGAGGAGCAGATATGACCATAGAGTCTGACTCTGGATACAGTCCAATGGCGCTGGCAGTTGCTCTTGGGCATAAGAAAAGTAGGTATACAATGCACATTTTCTTTTTTGAAAAACTAAGATAAAAATGTATTGCTAAGGTAAGATTTTTACTTCCTTTCTCCTATAGTCCAGAAAGTGTTGGAGGACCACATCTTGAAACTCTACAAGCCATCAACATGACACTTATTAAAATACATTAATGGAGTTGCCAGTGTGACACTCAGCTGATCTTAAACCTTCGTTGGTTTTCACAAAAATGTCTGTCACAAGCTAAGGTCATAATGGATTATTGCATACACAAACATTTACCAGATAAACAGCGATTTTTAACCTGTTTATTCCATTTATATGCATTGCAATGTTCAAAATGTTTTACAAACAAGGACTGAAATGTGACAGTTGTGCAGCTGAATTATTTTGCTTGGCTGAAGAATGACCAAAAAAAAAAAATTCTAATAAATTATTTTCATACTGGAATGGCGCTTTAATTTTGAAGGCACAGAAAAGGTATAAAAAGCAGATTACAAGTGCACAATCAAAATGTGCAAAGGGTCACTGTATGACAGGTCATCGAAGCTTTCATACCAAAAAAGGCCACATTCACAAGAGTTCATGAGGTGGCAACACAGATGACATGTTTCCCAAGTGCCACCACACCATCCTACATCCTGTGCTTTCACTCAGGGGTCACTTCCTCTCTCTCATGAGAGGACTGAAAAATGGTCAGGAGGCTTTTCCCCCCAGGACATCCAAGGAATAAACAATAATTCTCCCAAAAAAGTCAGCACTATTCTCAAACATTATTTTTACTTTGTCCACTACAGGGGCCTCCTGTATGGGAAAGCTGTGGGTGTGGAGTTAAGAACAAGATAAGCGTGGTAATGATGAAAAGCATGTCCAGGAAAATATTGTCCAATGCTTTTTATGAAGCAGGAAACGCACCATGCTCCTGTAGTGACAGGTACAGCTTTGAGCTGTTGTTGGCGTACACCAAGACTGATGTTTTATAACAGAATTATGTTTATTAAAGGAACACCATCAACTACTTGATAGAATAAGCTGAGCTTAAATATTTTTAATGGCATACAGCATCATCAGTGGCTGTGAACAATATTTTTTGCACAAATTAAGTAGTTAAATGTAACATTTATAGCTACTTCAGCAGTGACTGCTAATTTGGAGTATAGAAAAGAACAATGGCTCCCCACTTGACTGATAATTTAAGGAAAAGATTGGTCGAAGCCCTATATGCAATCAAATCTCCTTGTGAAAATTCAGTATAGTGAGAAAAAGGATATCTGAAGAGAGTTGTTATCCTCTGGGTAAAAGTGGCTGAGCACTGTAAAGTCTTTATCTTTTAGGCAACCTGCAGAAAGCACAAGTGGAAAAGTAATTTACATTATCTCATTATTACTGCTTGAATTTGAAGTGAAACATTTTAATCAGGAAGTCATTTTTTTAATATTATCTTCAGGATTTACCTTCCAGTCTGCACGTTTTTGCTGAGAATCCTCCCTGGAATTGGACCTTTAACTCTGACACTCTGACAGAGTTGGGGAACTCCAGGGACACCCACTGACATTCACCCTGTCAGAAAAATAATACTCATAATGACACAGAGATGTGTACAGCAAAACATCCATTTGCCTGTGAAAAACAGGATGCCGAGAATAACTGTCTCTGTCGCCAAGAATATGGGAACTTTTAGTCGTTCTTTTATCAGATCTCCACTAACTGTGGCCACAGCAACAACTATTCTTCCTGGGGTCCACAATGCCATACATGTAAGCAGATTATAATTATTTATGGTAAATGGCCTGTATTTGTATAGCGCTTTTCTAGCCCCTAAGGACCCCAAAGCGCTTTACACAACCAGTCATCCACACATTCACACACTGGTGATGGCAGCTACATTGTAGCCACAGCCACCCTGGGGCGCACTGACAGAGGCGAGGCTGCCGGACACTGGCGCCACCGGGCCCTCTGATCACCACCAGTAGGCAACGGATGAAGTGTCTTGCCCAAGGACACAACGACCGAGACTGTCCAAGCCGGGCTCGAACCGGCAACCTTCCGATTACAAGGCGACCTCCCAACTCTTGAGCCACGATCGCCCCAATTATTAATAACCTTTATTTAACCAGAAAAAAAAAATTGAGATCTGAATTTTTTTTACAAGAGTGTCTTGGTCAAGAAGGACAGAAGTACTATCATAAGTTGCATAAATTAATAGCACATAGAAATTCTTTAATTAATTTATAAAAATATATATTAGATTATCAAGAATTGTGTCAATCTTTTTTTTTCTTTATTATAAATTCAACATGTTTCAGGCTTTTTCCTACACAAATCACAACATGTATTGACAAAGTGGGCATTTAATCATTTTATAGACAAAAGCATTTAAATAAGAAATATAAGAACATAGAAAGTTGGGAAATTCATCAAAAGTCAAGATAAAAATTATCATTTTGTGATGATGCACATGAATAACAGTCAGTCAACGACCACCTCCTAATGGACAACTACTACTAGGATTTAAATACCAGGGACTCTCCACCCTTTCATTTTAAAACTAAAGAAAGCTCTTGATGAGAGGTGAAATGTCTTCAATGAACTTGAAGTCCGATTGCTTTCTTTTTTAACAAAACAAACATGATCTGGATGACTGAGAATCTACACACATACTATTAGTTAAAAAAATTAGCATATCTCAGCATGGTGTGCAGTGTATCAAAATGTTGGGGAAACTGAACAAGTGGAGGACAAAATAAGAAGCCACAGACCTAAAGAGCCATTTATGGCAGGCCAAAAGTATCTGAAAGTCAAATCTTCAATAGGAAAAAAAATCCAGCAAAGACGTGGCCCAGGACCTGAGAGATCCATTTGCTTTCACCTAACCCTTATCAGAAAGAGAAAAAAATCCTTGGCAACGGGTCTTCTAAGCAATGAATTTAAAAAGTATGACGAAAGTCAGGAGAGAGTTACTACAGTGAGTGTCTACACGATCCATGCTGTGTGCAATCCTGCCAGTGGTTTTGTGTCTTCTTAAACTTGATGGAATTATAAACACAGAAATGTATCGTGAGATCAGATTTTGAGCCACCCCGCATTTCTCTGCATGACAATGATCCCCAAAAAACACTACTACACAACTTTGAATATCCTTGAAACCTGGAGAATTCTTGGAAGACTATTCCTGCATTTGTATATATGTTTGCACATACTTTAATAAATCCCTGCCCCTTGTCCCCCCATTTTCCAAGCAAAATATAAACAACTGGGGATAGCTTAACAATTTTAACCAGTATCATACCACTGTGCAGATCATGTAGTACAGTTAGTTAGTTGTAGTACAGTTACTAACTGTACTACATGATGAGTACTAGATGAGCCATGCATTGATGGAAATGAATTAAAGTTGTTAGGGAGCTTAAGATCTGGTAAAATGTTTTGCCCTCTTTGTTAAATTGGTCTGATCGTCTTCTTCTTCTTCTTAATAATAATAACAATAACAATAATAATAATAATAATAATAATAACAATGTTATTATAATTATAAAACTATAAGGGTAGACAGACATTGAAATACAAATACACTCAGAAACACAAAGGCTTAAAACATGAATAAAATTAATGAAAGACCAGAGATAAAACGCATAATAGAATCATTCAAAAGCAAGCCTATAAACATAATTTTCTCAGGCAGGTCATTCTAAAGTCGAGATGGCCCTGATGGAAAAAAACAGTCACCTTTTCGATTTAAATCTTGATTTTCAAAGCAGCCTGCAGGGCCCCACCTGAGGATCACAAGCTGCGAGCAGGCTTATATGGGGTCAGTAGCTCTACTATGTAGCTTGAGGACAGACCCAGGAAAGCTTGGGAAGTAATCAGTAAAATCTTAAAATTCTGAGCATGTTGAAGATGAGAGTGTAACTTTTCATTAATGCCAGTGGAGAGAATTGCAGAAGTCCAGTCTTGAGAAAATAAACATGTGACATAAACCCATATTTTGAGCTCTGGCTCAGAGATGATGGCAGTTATGTGGATAGTGTTCACACATGGCTGCTTCTTTGCATGATCAAGCTTTAACCTGTATTTGTGGATTACAAGACGAACTTGTTCGCACAGTGATTTCTGAGCCCATACAGTGATTTCCATGACAGAATCATGTCTGCATTTAATGCAACGCCACCTGAGAGCCCAAAGATCAAGGGCATCCAATAATGATTTTTGGCCTTATGCTCCTTGAAATATTTCCTGATTCTCTGAATCTTTCGATGACATTATGCACTGTGTAGATGATGACCATATATTCACACTAGTCTCTGAAATTAATTGTTTCAAAACATATAGATGATGATTTGTCCATCTTTACTTCTGAGAAACGTCCTCTCTAAGATGCTGTTTTTATAGCTAGCCATGTTAGTGACCTGTTGCTGATTAACTAGTTTCATGTTAATTGGCACTTCTTTTTTTTTGAAGTACCACTTACATTTGTCCCAGCTTTTTTAGAGAAATGTTGCTGTCACCAAGTTTAAAATGAGCTATTATTCTTAATGAAACAGTAAAATAGGGTTTCGGTTTAAAATTCTGGTGTTTTTCTGTTCTATAGAAAATACGATATAGAATTGTGAAGTTTGCAAAGCATTGCAATTTGTTTGTATCTACATCTCACACAGTCTTCCAGCAACTCAAAACTAAAGGGCAGACTAAACTAACCTTTCTTTAGGTTTCTGGTAACAGTTTTAGCAATAAGTTGTGAGGAACGGGTCCATTGCTATATTTGTATTTACCTGGTCTGAGTTCCAGCATGTCTCCTCATTGCAGTCAAACATGAACTTCTTTCCATACTGCTTAACATCTCTGTTTAGCACTGAACTCACTCTGAAATGAGAATAGAAACACAAGATTCACGACTCAAGGACCAGTAACAGGCTGCCGTCCAAACACGTACAACAGCCAAGTACATTATCTATGCACTGGTGAGTACATTTCTCTCATTTTCATTCTCTCGTTTTGCTTTTTCTCTACCTGCTTTGTGTTTCGCTGCAAAGCAACGAGGAAGCCATGTCAAAACTTCAAATCACAACGTGCCGTAAAGCGCTGGAACCTCGCTGTGTTGTTTTTACGACTGTGACGTTCTGGCATGACCGCTTTTCTTTCCTGCCACCAGGTGGAAGTCTCGCTCCGTCAAAAATATTTAGACGACAGTCTTTCGCTATACGTGGCTGGAGGTTAAGTCTCTTAATCTTCATCTGAGGTCCCGGGCGCTCATGATTAATAATTAAACGCAGAAAAAAATAAAGTTGATCCCGCTCTTCGTGGCCTGTGAGGGGCTGCACTGCTCTTCATCTTCTTGTTTGTCCCCCCAGGTCTCGTTGCTGTCCTCCCAGGCGAGACGCAAAAGGTCAGAGAAATGAGAATCGATTGGGACGGGGGGCATTGATCAGCAACCTACAGATGAGGCATAG